ATCTATAAAATAGGGAGAACTAAAATATCACCTATCTCGTGGAATTAATTCATGTGAAAATTAAGTGAGGTAATGTATGTAGAGTGCTCAGCACAGTCCTAGACACTTAGAAAAACTCAATAAATGGTAGACTTAGCTATTTTTATAGTGGAATACTTAGCTCTCTAATTTTATTTATTATTTTTCTTAAATTTATTTTTTATTGTTATATTCAGCTATTTGGGACATATAAATCCAGTATTGTTGGATTTTTATCCTTTAATTTATCACTTACCATTTTCATTTAATAACTAGTTCCTCTCTCAGAACTTTTTACTATGATACTGGTATTAACTAAGTGCTTTTTGTGATTATGATTATGATTTTCTTTAGGGTTACCATTATGCTTTTGTAACTCTACTCTTACGATATTCTCACAGGGTTAAGTGTCCTCCAAATCACATGCCTGCAAAGACCACACATATAGTGTAACTGTGAGACATAGACCAAGAGTAAAGCAATCAGTGCTCAGCTGCTTGCCCGGTTCCAAGCACATCACCTGACTTGCTGCGTTGCCTTTGAAAGCAGCAAACGCATAGTCCACAGGCTGCATTTGTCACAACCTGCCAATCTCTGTACCTGCCTTGGTCTTCCCCTAAGTTTTGTCTGTCAATTAAAAAATTTATTTTAGTTTCGTCTGTTTTATCTAGCCAACTGTTGAATTTATTATTTCAATCAGCTCACATTTTATGTGGGAGTGTGCTTGTTTGTATTTATTATATAATTAACCCATTTGTAGTATAAACAGCTGTCACTAAGTTTAGCTTAACTGTTGTGTCTAGTTTTGCTTCTACTTTATGTTTTCTGTGGTGTATTTTTAAAAAATCTATGTTTTGGGGACATTTTAAAATTGCTCAAATAGTACAAGAACATATTACCATTGTAAAAGCTTCTGTACAAAAAGTTGTAAGAAGCCTGGAGCATGAAACATGTGAGAATCTCCATCGTACCTTCCCTCCACCCATTTTCACTCCCTTTCCAAGAGAAAATCACTGTCAACATCTAGAGCGTGTCTCTGCTCCTCTTTTCTGTACATTTTAAAAATGTTTTTCTATATTACTATACCTACATATACAAATATCTTAAAAATAAATTATATATTTTATACTGTTTTATGATATCCTTTTAAAAAATACTTAGGGGCACCTGGTTGGCTCATTCAGTTAAGCATCCGACTGTTTCAGCTCAGGTCTTGATCTCAGGGTGGTGAGATCGAGCCCCGTGTTGGGCACCACACTCAGTTTGGCATCTGCTTCAGTTTCTCTCCCTCTGCCTCTCCCACCCTGTGCGTGATCTCTGTCTCTAAAATAAATAAATCCTAAAAAAAATAAAAAATACTTAAAACTCTGTCTTATGTTGGTATACAGCTCATTATGTTTTAGAGAGTATGCAGAATTTCATAATAGGAATATTTCCAAATTAATTTTGCTTGGCTGGGAATTTCCCATTGTTTCCAGTTTTCTGGTATTACAAATGATGATGCAGTAGACAGCCTTGTGCATGCTTCTTTATGCAGAAAGAGCAGGTACCTACAAATGGAAATGACTGTTCAAGTGGTGTGCACAGTTACACAGTGATACTGCCAAATTACTCTTCAAGAGGGCTAAACCCATTGATGCAAACACCAATATGCACTCGAAGAGTACACAGTTCCCACACACTCCTAAAATATTTATTTTTAACATTTTTATGATTTTCTAATCTGATGGGTAAAAAATGGTATGCCATCATTGCTTTAGTTTGTATTCCTCTAAATATTAGTAGATATCAGTAGACTATTAGTAGATAGACCTTTTACATGTTTACTGGCTATTTGGAGGCCTACAGTATGCATTACAATTTTTTTCAAGTGTAAGTTGTGATGGGAAAGGGCATAGATCATAAGTGTCCAAGTTGATAAAATTTCAACAACTGAACACACCCCTAAAACCATCACCCAGATTAAGAAATAAAATATTACCAGCATCCGGCTTGTGTACACTCCCAGTCAACCTCCCGTTCATCCATTGCTTCTTTTGTACTCTACATACATGACATCAAACAGTATGTGCCCCACAGTGTCTGGCTTCTTTTGCTCAACACTGTTTGAGGGATTCTCATGTATCATTGCATGTAGTTGCAAATCATTCTTGTTCATTATAGTCTAGTACACCACAGTATGAATATATCACAATTTACTTATCCATGTTACTGTTGGTAGACATTTGTGTTATATCCAGATTTTGGCTATTATGACCAGTGCTGCAGTAAACATTGACACGCAGGTTTTAGGTGAACTTTTTCATTTCTTTTGGGTAACTACTTAGCAGTGAGATTGCTGGATCAAATGGTAGTGTATGTTTAACTTTTTATAAAGGACCTGCAAACTTTTCCAAAGAGGCTTTACTATTTGCATTCCCATCATCAGTGTATGAGCTGCATTTGCTCAGCATTTGGTATTGTATTTTTAAATTTTATCTACTCTAATAGGTATGCTGTCGGGGCGCCTAGGTGGCTCAGTCAGTTAAGTGCCTGCTGTTGGCTCAGGTCATGATCCTGGAGTCCTGGGATCAAGCCCTGCGTTGGGCTCCCTGCTCAGTGGGGAGTCTGCGTCTTCCCCTGCCCGTGCTCTGTCTCTCTCAAATGAATAAGTAAAATCTTTAAAAAAAATAGTAAGTATGCTGTGGTATCTTGTGATTTTAATTTGCATTTTTCTAATGCCTAATGATGTCTATTTGTCTTCTGCATATCGATACTCTTGTTAAAATGTCTGCTAAGTGATTTGCTCATTATTTTTTTCCACTTTTTTAAAAAAAGATTGTTTTTAAGTAGTCTTTACACCCACCATGGGGCTCAAACTTATAACCCCAAGATCAAGAGTCACATACTCTACTGACTGAGCCAGCCAGGTGTTCCAGTGATTTGCTCAGCAAAATTGGGTTGTTTGGTTTCTTACGGTTGATTTCTGAGGGTTTTTATATATTCTGGATATAAATCATTTGTTGGACATATGATTTGCAAATATTTTCTCCCAGTGTGAATCTTGTCTGTTCCTTGCTATTTTAACACTGTTCATGGTTTGTTTGCATATAAGAGTTTTGAACTCTTTTAGACAGATTTGTCAGTCTGTTTTTTTATAGCTCCTATCATTAATGTATTGCTTAAGGAGGATTATTAAAGTTACACACGTCTTCCTTTTTACTATTGGAAAAGTAATATTAAAAATCTTCAATATGCCTATTAAATTCTACATTTTTCCTACCAAATATGTGCTCTTTTCTCTCAAAAACTGAAACAATTTAATATGTCTTTACTTCTTTTCCTTCTCTCCTTTCCTCACAATCTTTCATGTTCTGAGGTAACTCGACTACTGTTATCCTGCATCATCTTTTAGGTTCATTTTTTGTTCTTGCTTTTCTTTTCCTTTAGGCATGTTGTCTGGACATTTTTTTCCAGAGAGTTCATAGGTTACAAACTTTCTGAGTTCTTGAATATACAAAATATTTTCTGCTCATTCTTTTTTTTTTTTTTTAAGATTTTATTTATTTATTTGACAGAGAGAGACACAGGGAGAGAGGGAACACAAGCAGGGGGAGTGGGAGAGGGAGAAGCAGGCTTCCGGAGGAGCAGGGAGCCCGATGTGGGGCTCGATCCCAGGACCCTGGGATCATGACCTGAGCCGAAGGCAGATGCTTAATGACCGAGCCACCCAGGCTCCCCATTTTCTGCTCGTTCTTAAAAGACTAGCTAATAATTACAGGTCAAACATAATTTCAAAATATTGTTCTATTGTTTTTCCACACCAAGGATTACAGTGAGGAATGCAATGTCATCTAATTGATATGTATTTACTTATCTATTTATTTTCTTTGAAAGTTTTAGGATTTTCTTTTTATCTTTGGTTTTCTGAAATGTCACTGCAATGTTCTAGGTATTGGTCTTTAAGTTTTTGTTTTTGTCTTTTTTTTAATTTCCCTTCTTGACACTTTGTGTGCCCTTTCAAAAAAAACCCATATATTCTTGGAAACCTTATTCTGTTTATTTCTTGAAGTTACTTCTCTTTCTAATTCAGTCTTTTTCTTTTTTTTAGAGATTTATTTATTTATTTGAGAGAGCGAGAATGAGAGAGAGAGTGAGAGTACATGAGGGGGGGGAGGGCTAGAGGGAGAAGCAGGCTCCTCGCTGAGCAGGGAGCCCGATGCGGGACTCGATCCAGGGACTCCAGGATCATGACCTGAGCTGAAGGCAGTTGCTTAACCAACTGAGCCACCCAGGCGCCCCTAATTCAGTCTTTTTCTATGTGCAACTTCTGTTAGAGGGGTATCGATTTGTGTGTTGCTTCTGAAATCCCCAGTTGTGTAATTTTTGCATATAAAAATGGAACCTAGGTCTCTTACGCCAATAAAACCTATAGGCAAGAGGCTATAGGGAATTAGTGTGGGTGTGTTTATAAATTAGCTGGGCTAATGGAATAAATAAAAGGAAAGTTTTGATAATTATTTTGACAACATAGACAGTGTTAAGGTAACTGTCTAATACTGGGGCTCTGACACTTGTTAATTAATATAACTACTTAGATTATCTTCCTTAGTAAATTTAATTTTTATAGAAATTGACACCAAAAGACTTTTTTGGAGGATAGGGTAGAGTTGATGTGGAAGTCTGTTTAGAGTTCTTAATTTTGTGTTTTTCTTTTTTCTTCTCTCCTCTCCTCTCCTCTCCTCTCCTCTTCTCTTCTCTTCCGTGATTCCTCCTCTCTCTGGTTGTCAATCTGTGAATGATGAGATTACAGCACCCCAACATTCTAAAACTTATGAGACTAACCCACAGTACACTCTAGAAGGGGGGCAGTGAACACTATTAAACAGGAACATAATGATTGCATGCAAAAAGGGATGTCGTGAAGGTGGCAAGCGCATGGCTGATAGTGATTGGTCAGGGTTCTTCTGCTAGAAAAGCATTCTAATTTTCTTTTCCTGTCTCTTCACTTATATAGGTTAAATTCAGAAATGGGTGCGGGAGACCTGGGCTGTTGTACTAACCTCCAATCTATCCTGCTGGCTTGTCTTCTCTGCTCATGGGCTCTCATCACTGTGCTCATCTTGTCCACCTGGTTTACTCCTCATTTTGTGCTGCTTCCCACTTCCAAGCTCCTTGATGGTGAAGCCTGGGCGCTTGCTCTGTAACATGTGTAGGAGAAATGAATAAATAAATGAGAAGAGGAGAGCATTTTTCGGCTAATACCCTACCTCAGGGGTTCTTGGTCTGAGGACACATTAAAGGCACAACCTTTGGATGTTTTCAGTCATACTCCAGCCCAGACCAATGACTCAGGAACTGGGTCGGGCTAGGGCATCTGTAGGTTTGAAATGCTCTTCAGGTGATTCTAATGTGCACATCTGATTGGAAACAGCTGCCCCAGATTAGTGGGGTCTCAAATTTGATTTTGCATTATAATCAGCTGGTAGGGGACGTCTGGGTGGCTCAGTTGGTTAGGCAGCCCACCCTTGATTTGGGCTTCAGTCATGGTCTCAGGGTCCTGAGCCCCAGATCAGTTTAGGCACTCAGCAGGGAGTCTGCTTAAGATTCTCTCCCAATGCCTGCACCCCCCCCAAAAAAAATCACCTGGTAGGTTTGTTAAAACACAGATTTTTGGACCCCATTCCCTGAGTTTCTGATTCAGTAGGCCTGAGGTAGGGCCCAGGAATTAGGTTTCTGACCGGTTCTCAGGTGATGCTGATATTGCTGGTCTGGGGCCCACACTTTGAAAACCATTGCCTAAGATTTTTTAATAGCTATGATGAAAAGTTCTGTATTAACAGTACTCAGTGGTTAGCTGCACATAAAATCAAAATACTGATGCCTGGGTCTTACTCTCTAATCACAACCGGAGCTCTATGGGAAGAGCGACGGCATCTTTTGTTTGTAAAATTTCCCCAGGTGATTAAGTTCAGTGAGGTTTTAGAAATGCTACTCTAGACCTTTGCTACTCAGAGTGTGGTCCTTAGATCAGCACCATCGTCACTTGGAAGCTTGTTAGGAATGCAGAATCTCAGTCCTTCCCTTAGAACTACTAAATCTGCATTTTAAAAAGAGATGTGTAGACACATTAAAGTTTAAGAAGCATTACTCTAGAGAACTGTTCATCTTCGATGCTCATAGAATAATTTGTTTCTTATCTCTGATGCTGGGTTCAAATTCCCTAAGGGTTGGCTTCTTGCCTAATTCATCCTCAATCCAGAGCACCTAGCATAGTGAGTTTTTTTATTTCGTTTTTGTTTTTTTCCATATGGAGCTGCTCAATAAATACTTTTGAATAAATGAATTTGGGTTGGAATTTAACACCCATTCTCATCTACAAAGTGGATACACACTTTCTTTCTTCTCCTGGCTAGGCTTTTGGCCACCTCTCAGATAAGGATCCTCACACTGTCATATCACTTTAATTGCTCCGCAATTACTTAATACAGTATTAAGAAAAATTTCATGGGCAGGAGTCATTTCAGACATTCCTGAAGTTTCAAGAAAAAGCAATTTGGATGCTTCCACACAGACTCTACACATTGTGACCCAGAGGTTCACTGTGTGGGCCAAGACATTGATTTCCTCTGTTGTCACATAAACTAACATTCTTCTTGGAATTCCCACACCACAGTTATACACACTGAGTGGCTGCTTCCCTTAGAGTTTCAGGGGCACTGCTTTGATCACTTTTTCTGATAATGTGTAGAACTTGAAACAAATTGAAAGATACCCTATCACTTGGCACTGTTCATTCTCCTCATCATGAGATTTTTCACATTTAGAAAAATTTTAACCTTCTGGGAAATGGTCACATTGAGCAACTTTAAGCATGACCAAATCTTGGGAGGTTTCTTCAAGTATAGTTGGTAGGCAGAATAATTCCCCAACCCGAAGTCCTAATTAGTCTAGGTCCTAATCCCCACCTGTCTAATCATGTGAATATGTTACTTAACATGGTAAAAGGGTCTTTGCAGATGTGATTAAAGACCTTAAAATGGGGAGATAATCCTGGATTATCCCAGTGAACTGAATGTGATCACATGAGTCTTTAAAAGAAGGGAACCTTCTGGCTACAAAGAACCAAAGAGACGGTGGTGTAAGGAGAACTTGACCATCCAAGAATGGGGAAAAGGGGCCATGAGCCAAGAAATGCAGGTGGTCTCTAGAAGCTAAAAAAGGCAAGGAAACACCTCCTTTCCTAGAGCCTCCAGAAAGGAATGTATACCTGTCCACACCTTGATTTTAGCCTGATAAGACCTGTGTTAGGCTTTTGACCCACAGAACTGTATGGTAACAAATTTGTGTTGTTTAAGCTACCAAATTCATGGTGACTTGTTACAGCAGGAATAGGAAACTAGTACAGAAAGCAAGACACTTTTTTGTTTCTAGGTATGTTTGGAGGTACAGACAGGTTAAAAGCATCCAATAGTCTGTTTTTTTACATTCCCCTGTGTCATCTAAATCTTCCTAGTTATCAGAAAATACTTTTATCTTTTGGCCTAAACTCTGTTTCTAAAATTCTTTCCTTCCCCTTCCCTGATGTGAAGTTCAGAGAATCTGGTGTTGGGATGATGAATATGGCAAGTAGTATTAGGATTTGAAGAATATAGATGTGGTCCCATGTCCCCAAACACCTACCGCCACCCCAGGTCTCAAATTCCATTATGAGAGACCCATGGTTTGCATCTTCTTCAGTTTTCATGTGTTTCCCCCTATTACAAGCACTTATATCTCCGGAGAAGTAAACCTTTCCCTGAGAATATGATTACTTTACCACTACATGTGGGAGAGATACAAGATAGATTATATGGGAAAAGAGAAGGGAGGTAAAGGAGCAACCTCACTATCATCACAATTATGTCAAGAGCTCTTTACCTAAAATAGTTTAATTAATTAATTAATTTTTAAAAAAGATTATTTATTTATTTATTTACTTGAGAGAGAGACAGAGTACACAAGGGGGGTGAGGTGCAGAGGGAGAAGCAGAATCCTTGCTGAGCAGGGAGCCTGATGTGGGGCTCAATCCCAGGACTCCAGGATCATGACCTGAGCCAAAGACAGATGCTTAACTGACTAAGCCACCCAGGCGCCCCAAGAAATTTAAATAAGATACTAAAGGGAACATGTTTTTGTGTGTATTTATTTAGTGCCTACTCTGTGCCATGTGCTTTATTTCAGTGATCTCATTTAATCTTTCAACAACCCTGTGAAGTGTCAGGTGTGGGATTTTGTTTTACCCAGATTACAAATTGGTAAAGTAATCTGTTAATGCTGAAACTGGATTTTCCAGTGAGTATTTGTCTGTTATTTATTTATTTATTTTTAATAAAGATTTTATTTTGTTTTATTTTATTTGACAGAGAGAGACAGCGAGAGAGGGAACACAAGCAGGGGGAGTGGGAGAGGGAGAAGCAGGCTTCCCGCCAAGCAGGGAGCCCAGTGCGGGGCTCGATCCCAGGACCGTGGGATTTTACCTGAGCCAAAGGCAGATGCTTAACGACTGAGCCACCCAGGCATCCCTTGTCTGTTATTTATGATGCTGGCAGATGAGACTCCTAAGTGAGAGACAAAGGATTTTATTACTCCTGTTGCAGCAAAGAGCATGAGCGCCAGCATTTTGTGCCAGATCCCAAGGTCCAACAGGGTAACCCAGTAGGAGCCCACATGGATAATATGCTCACATTTGTTTTGTGCCATTGATGGGAAATCTACCACTTTTATAGCAAGTAATGAGTAATCATGCTCTTTGTTCTGGGGGGAGACATTACTTCATCCCTCAAGGTTGCCTGCTGCAAGTACAACCCTGAGAAATTGCTTGGGTAAAGAACAGCTGGGGCCTTGCATTCTTGGCATACCCTACATGCCAAGTGTGAGCACAGGAGACTCATGGAGAATTGTCTCTCCCAACACAAAATATGTATTATAATTCCCATCTCACAAACAAGAAATCTGAGGTGAAAGAAAGTTGGACAACTTGTGTACGGATACAAGAAGTAGTGAGGACAAGATTCAAAGTCATATCTATATTTGAAAGCCCATTGTCTTCCCACCATAAGCTGCTGTCCACTAGAAAGGCTATATTAGAAAAATAATTACACCATAATGATATTTTAAAATCACGAATTAATAAGATAACAAAAGCAGGGGCACCTGGGTGGTTCTCTCCCTCTGCCCCCCTCCCCCACTTGTGTGCTCTCTCTTTCAAATAAATAAATCTTTACAAAAAGATAACAAAAGCAAACTTAATATTTAAAAAATTACCAGAAGGTAGTGGGATTTCTGCTGGACATGTAAATATATTTATTAATTCATTCTTTTACAAAAGTTACTAAAAACTTTCTATGTATCTTCTCTGTGGTGGGAATGGATGGAGAGCATGAAGAGAAAGCAGGAGATAAATGAGGAAAAAGGAATATTCTGGTAAGTGAAATGCCTCAGTACCACTTGGCACAATACTGTTCTGCATTGCTGAACTCAAAACTTGAGACGGTGGAACTTTGACATCCAGAAAGGTTGCTTTTCCTGAACTCCTAATGACTTTAATTGAAAGCCACTTCAGTCTTCTTCTGGTGGCCTCTCTAGATCTTTTGTTTCATTGAAGTGTAACTTGGGGAGCATCTGTGGAAATTTATCATTGCATTAAACAAGAAGATACATTTGATTCAGAAACAATTTTCTTTTTGAAGTCCAAATGTTAAAAGACAAAATAAATTTTAATGTGATACATTAGAAGGATTTTTTCAATCTGAATTCAGTACTCATGCAAAAGGACAAACTCATTAAGTTCTCAAAAGTCTCCAAGGAAGATGATGATGTTCAAGTGCTAAATTGCAGCACTTCCATGTTTCTGATAAAAGCTGAGAATGTAAAAAATTTTTGATTCTTTGAATCACTTATCTAAACACATTATTATCATAAACAATTATGATTGTAGACCTTGGTGCAGAGAAATTCTCAGCTTTTGAAAAGCCTAGGGAAAATAATAAGTGTGAGCCTCTTCTACCTGCCCCATTCCTGTCTCTTCCATTGATCTCATCTTAGGATTTTATGTTCCTTTTGGAATAACTCCTAGAGAGCTTTGTCTGGAATTAAGTCCACACTGAAAGAAAAAAAAAAGCAATTAATATGCTTGTGTATCTGTGCATATATAAAAATGTCCAAAAGCATGTTTATCTACTCAAATGTGAGCTGTGATCCTTTGGCTGTGGGATCACAGGCCATTGTTTGTATCCTCACCTGAGGTTGGGTTGCCTGCCATTGAGAAGGACTTTTCGCCTTTGCCTCTGGCTTTCCGTTTTGCGGTTTGCCTCACCCTGTGTTGTGTTCTTTGTTCTTGTAAACAGCATGTGCATATGTCTTCCTTAATGCTGACGGGGGAGTGTTTGAGGGTGAGAGAGGAAGGGAAAAGTGGGCATGTGAAAGTAACTGGGGGTACTAGCCTGGCCAGGAGACTTTCCCTTGTGCCTCTTAGGGTGTTTGAAGGAGTCGGGTTGTTATTCCTTTTGGCCTTTAGGCCTTTCTTTCTGTTAATTCATTTGACAATTATTTACTGCGTGATCTTATGTGCCAAGCACTTCCTAGGTCCTGGGAATCTAGCAGTAAACAAAGCAAATTTCCTTCTTCCATGGAATTTACATTCTAGAAGACAATTGAAAAATTAACAAAATAGAATATGTCCCATCATGAAAAATGATGGGAAGAAAAATAAACTGGGGTGAAGCAGATGGAGAGTGAGGGAAGATGAAGGTGAAGGAGCTATTTTCTATCAGTGAAGAGGGAAATCCTCTCTGATGAGGGGTTATTTGAATAGAGATGCAAGGAAGCAAGGGAAGGAGCTGCTATTCCAGGCAGAGGGAATAGCACACAAGGTCCTAAAGTGTGTATATCCTTTGGCTTTTTAAGGAGCAGAAGATAGGTCAATGTATCAGGGCAGAGTGAGTGTGCTGGGGAGTGTAGAAGAGGACTGAGGGGTATCTGGGCCCCAGGGTGTATATAGCCTTGCTGGCCACATTGTGGTGACCTGTAAATTTTACTTGAGTGACATAGGAAGCCACTGAGCAATTTTCAGTGGGAAAGTGACCTGATACGTTGTATTTTAGAAGAATCATTGCTATCATGTCTAATATAATTTATTTGAATACAGTAGACAGTGAGTTCCAACACTTAATGACCTCTTTTTCGTTAAGTGTTGAAGAAATAAATCATTAATATGTTATTTGGTATATTTAAGAATTACAGTCAGTGTTGCAATAGATTAGGAAGCGATGCTTTCTGGAGGAGAAAATAACCAAAGAGAGATTAAGGAAGCCATTTGTCCCTATCTAGCTGATGGACACAAATTTTAGTTCCCATATGCAGGTGTGTGAGAAATGTTAACTATTTTCCTGTGAGTATACTCCTAGTATTCTCTCCATTATGGGTGTCACATAAGTTAGAGGGTTAGGTTACATCATAGCAATGATTCTCCAAGTGTGGTCTGAAGAGCAGTGATATCAATATCACCTGAGAACTTGTTAGAAATGTAGATTCTTAGTCCCCGTCCCGGACTTGCTGAACCCAAATCTGTATGCTAGCAAGCTCTCTGAGGGAACTCTAATGCACATTAAAATTTGAGAATAACCCTATCATGGTGTCACATCATGGGTGGGGCACCTGGTCTGTGTTGCCATCAGTCTATAAGGGCATCACTGAGACCTCTAGCGTTCTGTTGTAGATCCATGTGGGGCCCAGCTTTGTCCCTCATTTCTGACTCCAAGATCTTTCCAATCAAGTTCTTCTTCTTTCTCAGCTAATTTCTGTCCATTCTTAGCTACCCTATCTGTAAGGATTCTACTGCGGCTGTATCACATGGAGCTATGGGAATTTTTTTGGTGTTACTGAAACTCAGGCTACTTAGGGGCCTCTCTCAGCTTCACAAAATTATCTGCCACTTCCTTGTTACTTTGTGGTTTGGGGAACTGGTCCCCATGTGTCCATTTTTCTTAGGGGATCCTGGTGTTTTCATAGTCTTAGCCTAAGAAAGGGAGCCTAAGTTCTCTCTGTTCTCAGATTGCCCCAAACTTAACTGAAGTTTCTGTTCCTACAGTGGGCTCCTAGATGCTAGGACAGCTTCAGGATTTCTTCTCAGGACCCATCAGCATCTGAACTCACTTCACTTGCCATCTCCCCTCAGTAATTGAGGCAATGCTTTCTAGGTTCAGGCAGGAAAATTTGCCTTGCTTTAGAAATAACTCTCCTATAGCACAGGCCATCCATCATCAAGGTAGACAAAGACACTTTGGGGAAAGATTGCAAATGGTATCTTCTCTCCTCCTCACTGACAAAACCACCATGCTGCTTTAAATAATTAATGAAAAAAATATTAAGATTGTGGTGCATCTTCTTTTAAGAAACTTACCTGTTGGGGGCACGTGGGTGGCTCAGTTGGTTAAACGGCCAGCTCTGGATTTCAGCTTAGGTCTCCATCTCAGGGTGGTGAGATCAAGCCCCACGTCGGGTTCTCTGCTAAGCGAGGAGTCTGCTTGAGGAGTCTCTCTCTCCCTTTCCTTCTGTCCCTTATCCTCCAAATAAACAAATAAATCTTTAAAAATAAAAAAGAAATTTACTTACGTATGTGCCAAATGCCTGTCAGGTGGTTCTTAGATACCTCAAATTTGGGAAGCCTGGGACTGTATCCATAATTGTGATAACTCAAGTTGCCCACCACTTTTCTCTCATTGACTACTGCCAAATTCTTCATGGGCCCAGTGAACCATGATGCTGACCCTTTTGTTGTGACTGCATCATTTATATAGTAAGTCTGCTTTTTTTAGTCCTTATTAGCTTGCAACAGTTAAAGTATATTAGGTATTGTAAGTATAAAGGCATTGTAAACATGAATGAAAATGAATGAATGAAATTCTGGTTTTGAGCTGATCTGGATGATCAAAAATGCTTTATGATAAGTTTAAAAATTAACTTGGGAATGAAGTCAAAAATTGAAAAAAAATTAATAAAAATTCTGTTGACTTCTGAGAAAAAATTTCAGAACCCTCAAGGGATTCTTGGGATCAAGTTAAGAATATACTTCCTTTGAGTCTCTGGGGTCAGTAGTTTTATTTTTATTTGCCACGGAACCATACTCTTAAGTTTTGTGGGTGCTTCATGCTCCTCCTCCCACCCCACTTTTCCTGTCTGTATGAAATATATTTGTGCATTTTTTCCAGGGGGAGCGCATGATCTTATTTCTGGAGGGAAAGGAGCCTGTACTTGGATGTGAAATGAAAGGGTTCCTGGGGATGATGAGGCTGATTGCAGTCATCAAACCTTATAAATATGTGACTTGTAATCACTATTTTGGAGGAAAAAGTTACACCAGCTCATTTTTAGTCTTGCTGTAATCTGTGGTAATTTGGAATGGTCAGAAGCTCATCATGCCCACTTTTGATAGACTTTCAAAATAAGGCATCTTCTTAGCTCTCAAGCCTCACAAGACACCCACATGGAAGGAGCTTGGAGCTTACAGCAGAACCTCAAAATACAAGCCTCCCTGTTCTATTATAAGGCACTAGACTGTCCATAGTGTTTTTTTTTTATTCTCCAAGATGCCTTTCCACAGTGGACAGTCATGGCTTTTGCTAACACTAAAGCTGAATAAAAGTGTTTTGAAATATAGGTGAGGGATTAATCCCTTGCAAAATATTTTTTAAAGTTCCATTCTTTTCTAATCTATGAATTGTTGGAGAGGCCTCTCAGACTGTCTCCTGGCTGTGTGTGTGTGTGTGTGTGTGTTTGGCTACATCATTGCTGAAGCCAAGCTGATTAAGACTAATTTTGGTTAAAATAAATTCGTGCCTGGGCAGACAACCAATGTGCAGAGTCTCAACCAGAGGCAATTAAAGTGAGATTCATGTTATGATGGAGACTTAATAACAACGGCAGTATTTGACATAATTTTGATGAACCAGTGGCAACATAATGTTCCCAGTGTGTCGGACTATCCTAGAATTTATTTGCTATATTTTATCTCACTTTAGAGGTGCTCTTTGATTCTGACACATCATTCTCTCTGGTAAGGGTTTCAGATCAGCCTGTCTGATTCATGACAGCACGGAGAAGGTATTCTCAAGAGCTAGTAGGATGATTGTTGAGAAAAACAGAGAGAGAGACAGATGGTAGACTTTATTTTACTGGCTCATCTGCTTTTGTGGAGAATGATTATACATTAAAAGTAAGTGGCACCAGAAGTCACATCTAACTGAGGTTCATCTCACATGTTTCCCTGTGGAGAACTTAAAATACAGCATGAGGGACAACCTAATACCTGAACAAGTAAGGGGAGCAGACCCCTGAGGACATGATCATGATGTAAGTTGGGGCTGGCGCAGATCTGAGAGGTCATTTGCTCCGACATGTCTAGTCTTCTTACTGCCTTGTTGTTAGGTTAGAGTTTAGTCTTTGCTTAAACACCTTGAGTGGTAGGGAACTCTGTATTTCTTCTTGCAGACTGTTTAACTGTGACATAATTCTTTCCTCTTTTGGGCTGATACTGACTTCTGAGTACTGTCATATTCATTAATCCTGGCTATGCTCTTTGCAAGCAACACAAAACAAATTGATTTCTTGTTTTACCCGGCAAGTATCTTGGATCTGAGCTAGAATTATATGTCTTCTACAGGCTAAATGTTCCCAATTCCTTGGATCCTTCCCTAGATGAAATGGATCAGGTCCTAGCTCATCAGCCCTCTGAATTAGAGGAACTTGGAAGAGATGGAAATAGTTTAGTTTAAATTTGCTTAACCTACTTACATGGCACAAACATTGAATATTCAGTACCAAGCTGATAAAAATAAAAGAGTCTTGTTAATTTGGTCTTAAAGGATAAAGAAGGAGTAGTGGCCGCAGAAGCCCACCTCCCCGTTCTTGTCCCAGGCAGCACAGCCTTAGATCCAGGGCTATTCTCACTGCAGACACTTGACAGATACTCGGGAGACTTCGTGGTTCTATCCTGGACTTTTAAATAAAGTTAACCCATCCATTTATCACTCTGGACGAGGCTTATAAATGCAGGGACTTCTAGATGAGAGGTTTCCAGAACTCTGATGGA